GTTCAAGGTTCAGTACTTTGCCTCTGAGGTGGTAACATCTGAGTTAAATCTATGAAATTGTTTCGATAACATAAAACATGAAAATAATGCCCATCTTTTTGAAAAGACAGGTGAAACTGCCTAGGAATTAGGGAAAGTGAAAAAATAGAAATTTTCTGCACTCTGCTATCTCCCACCTAGCTTCTAGAACATTTTTCCTCAGAACTTAGAGAATGTTTTTGCTACAACTTACTGTAATTTTTCAGTAGTTTTTTTTAAATGTTTTATTGCACTTCGCATATCTCATCATACTCATATCTTAGCCTGTTTTCTGCACTACCTGGTCTTTAGAAATTGGAGTGGGAAGGAGGGGAGAGCAGTAACCTCAGTTTACACATCTCAGTGTCTTTAGCATCTGGTACTTGATAGCCGCCTTCGCGGGTTTCTACTTAAGTGAATAGAAAAGGAATTTAAAAAATCAGGTGGGAGCGTAGGAGGCAGGCGCATTTCCCAGAATGACTGGAGCAGGGAAATAACTATGTGCTGTTGGATCTGTGAAAGCTATTGGGATAACTACTGGAAACTGCCTTGAATTTTTGTTAATTTTTATTTTTATTTTTTGTATCTGTTGGTAAATATTGAATGAAGGAATGACTCTGTGTGTGGTCTGTAAATGTTGGGTTTGAATTATTCTGGAGCATTTCACTTTTTTTTGGCTCAACGGTACACAGCGTTTTTTGTTTTCAAGATTTAAATGATAGGGCCGGCCGAGTGGCGCGTTGGTTAAGAACTGGCTTGGGATGCCAGAGGGCCCCGGTTTGGATCCCACATTTGAGGGCCAGTGACACTGCCCTCTACAGCTAAGATGCTGAACAACAGCTTAACCTGTTGCTTTCCTACATGGTTTACCGCCAACTGGTGTTCTTGGTATAATCCTTCTCTTGAACTGTGCATCCAGTGTTGCAGGAACTATCTCATCCTAGATGGTGGGCTCAACTCCTGTTTAACTAGTCACCCCAATCACGGGTCCCAGTCATTAGTCATATAAAATCGTTTAGCTGGAAACTAGCAGATTCACACACATAAAGGTCAACAACTTAGCAGTTACTAGGAATTATTAATGAAGTGCTCCTACAGGTCAGTGTATTTCTTCATTGAGCCTCTAGCTGGGCTGAAATGTCTTGACTAATCCTTTGTCTTCAGATATATTAAATTGTAGTAAGTTTAAGAAATTGGACAAAATCATGTAGATGGCAAGGTAGGAATGGTAGAATGGTTTGAAATAAGGAAATATTAGTGAAGTTACCAAGATTTTGACCACATTCAGCATGTATTGATTGCATACTGTGTGCCAGACATTGTGTTAGGTAGATACTGAACTGGCTATCTCTACAGGGAGAAGAAAGAGTGAAAACAGTTGTGTCCCGAATATATTATAGTGTTGCTTTTCTTTGAACTCTTTTAGTTGATGCAGTACTGACCTTTTGAGGATTATCATTAAGATTTTCCTTAGATCAGTTATTTTTTTCCTTTTATGTGAATTGTCATACTACCTTCTTAAATTTGATTTTGATTATACATAGGAACATATATTCAACAAAAATTTGAATATTTATTGTATTTACTGTGTGTCTAGGTAAATATGATCAAGGCATGGCAGGAATGTCGTTGTTTCTGGGAATTTTTTTTGTGGCCAGAAGAACCATTTTCATAGTGGAGAATTAAAGAAATTTAGATACTTCCTTAAACCTATCATGCCACCTTGTCCTGTCGTTTTTCATCACTTGATATTATCACTGGAGCATTTATCAAACTATTTTTGGGGGCGGGGTCATACTTCGCTTAACGATGTACAAAAACAACTGCACAGATACATTATTTTTTGTCAGGCAACTTAGAGGATGTACAGAAAATAAATTAATAGACCTTTAGACATTGTCAAGTTATTTTTTTTGCAGAAAGATAAGGGGTCAGTTCACAACTTAGTAATTTATAACATTTATCTTAATAGAAAGTGCTCATTAGACAGGGAGGCTAAGTAGAAAGTTGAACCAGTAGAGTATATTCTTAAGGCAGTTTTGGAAACACTGCAGAGGTGGACATGGCATATGTGGCAGTGATAAGCGTGCTAATGAGATGATCTGCAGTACCTAGATCTTGTATTGGACGAAAAGCCATATGGTAATTTAATGGAAGAAAGTAACAGTTAAAATATATGACTAAAACTTGGGTAGTGATGTTCAGAGCAGGCTTGCTGAGGGTTGTGCTGGTGGCTGGAAGTTCAAGGAAGAGGCTACAGTAATCTGGTGAGATGTGGCGAGTGTCTTCCCAAGGAAGTCGCAGTAGAACTGCAGAGAGCATGCAGGAAACGGTGTCCTGGAGGCAGTGTAACTCAAGGCCTTTGGGAAAGAAAACCTTGCCAAGTATGATATGAGGTTTAATCAGTGCATCATTCTGTTTGGGCCCAACTCTCTGCTATTCTAGGGGTTGCAATTAAATGAAAAAATACAGGGTCCAGGCTGCCTCCCAAGTTTGAGAAGCCCCTAGAGCTTTGGAGTAGGAGTAGAGGAAAATGTAACTGTTGTTCAGAAGTTTATCCCTCATTTTCTCCTTTAGCAAAGCTGTCTTCCTCCTTTCTTAGGGTCATTTTGATCATCACTGAGCCTCAAGTAATTTAACATCCTTGTATGGAAAACAAAATTCATTGATTGATTGAAAAACTTAAAATGGCCCTATGAAAAGGTCCTTTTGTTTGTTTTATTCTCTATAAAAATGCTTCCTGTTACATTCCTTCAGCCACATCGTGAAGAATAAGTAGGATATGATGGCTTCTGCTCCTTTCCCCTCTCCTCCTCCACCGTGACCTTGGGCGCCAGCACAGCATCTCTGTTTTGTCAGCCTGCCCACAATAACCCTCTTCCGTCTTCTTAACAGCCGCCATGCCAGAGGACAATGCAGAGCATTCTTTCTCGCCATAGATGCTAATTGTGGGCCTAGTTGGGATCTTGCTGTCATAGCCACAATCACTGTGCCATTGTGCTGGGAGGCTGGGGCACTGTAGTTACTGTGCAGAGAAATGAATGCTGTTTACTTGGGATGCGTTGTCGCCTGCATCTGTGAGTGAGATCACGCAGTTACTGTAATTTGCCTGGCGAGCGATCACACTGGTATAAAATAACATCATCTGTTAAGCGAGTTAGCAGTCACAAAGAACTACTGATCTTTTTTTAATATAGAATTTTTAATGAGAAACTTCAAGTAATGGAGATTGAAGATGTGAGAACAGCTTCCTAGTGTGTGTTGCCCATTAACCCTGTGTTTCAGTGTATATGGGGATCAGGTGTACGTATCTAGAAGTTAAGGGGCTGGGAGTGCCAGCTCTGCAAGTCCCTGCTCTGGCTGAGACTGAGAAGAGTGCTTAGCCACAGATGCGTATGGGATGAGTGATATGACTGGTGTCAGTCAGGAACCAGGGCGGCAGTGTCCCCTTCATGGAACTTGAGAATTCTGAAAGCGTAATCATCGTGCATGTAGACGGTTCCTTGTCTGGTCCTTTCACCTACATAAGGAAAATGCATTTGGAATGGGATGGTACTTAAATCTCAAGAATTCTTGCTGAAGTAAAAGGAAACATTTTGCTCTTTTTAAATAACCTTGGCGATATTTTGCAAGGGTTTTAAGAATCCCGATTTAGAGCTGATTATTTTCTTGACTACCCACATCCCATAGTTTCTTTCTCTCCACCCACTGCCCATTTTTAAACACGTTTCATCTGTTTGACTGCTCATTAGCATTGCTCATTAAAGTGATTTGGGGAATGCATTTTAAAGCAGTCCTTTTTATGCACGTTTCTTCAGGTTTTGTAAAATTTCCAGCAAATATAAATGTATTTATTTTTAAGTGAAGTTGAACCTAATTTATAGTTTTAATGTATTCTCTTCATTCTCCTTAGTACGTGTCTAAATGATTGCTTTTGAGGAAAGCAGATTTTGACTAGCACAATTATTTGTATCCCTTGAAGGGAGAGTAAGTGATGTTTGGTGTGACTTAAGTTTTTACAGTTTGGGGTCTTTTTCATGATCCCAAGAACTTAGAAATAGCAAGGGGTTCGTAATTTTGAAGGAGGGAAATACAATAAATAGGCCAGGTGAGATAATGTAAGAATTAGATTCTTACATTAAATCATCTGCCCATTGCAGGTAAAATTCTTTTTTGTTCCTTATTTTATAGTATTAAAGTAAGAATATGTATAATTCCACCTTCAAATGTTATACAAATAATATACGTTCAATATATTATTTGGAAATTTGGAAACTATTTTCTATAAAAAAAATATCCTACAGATCATCAGTTAGTCTGCATAGCTGCCAATAAAAATAGCTGGCATTAAATTTTGGTGTGTGTGCCCTTCTGTGATTTTGTTTCCTTTTTCCATAAATCTGGTTTAGGACTCAAGGCCATTCACAAATGCAAGTCATTTAAAATTAGTTCCATAATTTAAGAGCAAGTTTCCATAAAAACTTTTGATCAACATTTTCTGATATTAAATGGGTTGAAAATTAACCTTAGGGAAAAATACAAGTTTGTGTATAGTATTAATATTAAGAACATTTCCCATAGCTTTTAAAGATTGTAAGTTGCTTTGAGTTTTTCTTTTGACTCTAGCTTTATATTATTACATAATACTTAAATTAAATCTTTGTGCAGAAATAGAAAATAAAGAACATTTCTAATGTAGAAATTTAAAACAAACATTCATTGTTATTCAGGAATACTGGCTTTAATCAAGGCAGACTGATTGGCTTTTTCTTAATGGAGTTATAAATAGGACCGTAACTCACAAATTGCCTTTTTTACTTTGCTCATTTTCTCTTAGATAAATGGAAGTCAGTTAAGATATTCTTATGAAAAGTTGCTTTGTCTTTTCATTTTTTTTAACCACTTCCCTTTCTCCCTCTGGCAAATCAACATCTGCTTTCGTATAGCTAACCACTGCTGTTTATTTTCTGCTTCTGTGACAGCTAGCCGATGGCGGAGTCTCTTCTCTTCAAATGTCTCACTGGCTTTTCCCTATAGTCCTGTTGCAAGACTCAGCCCTTATAGCAATGGCATTAATACACCCAGCTTCTCTAAAACCTCAAATAAAGCAATACTAACACCTGAAAGAACAGGTAATATTTCAACTTCTTGACTAGCTGCTTGCTTTGTCATTCAGTTACTAAACACAGCTTAAATATTCATCTTGCATTGAAAAACTTGAGGGACATCTTATCATAATGGAGAATTTGTGCTGCATACTTACTTTGGGTACAAAAAGGGCCAGCATTGATTGTACTGTAACACCATTAATCTGCTGCTCTTAAATGTGTGTAGTAGGCAGTCTTCCCTCATTAGCAAAAATCTACATATATCGTTATGTTTCCAAATGCCTAATGTACTTTTTAAAATTTAATGGCAAACACGATTCAAGTAATTTTTATTATGAATCAAGAATATAAGCCTATTATATATCTTGTTCCTGGTAGCTTTTCCTACAGTCAAGGCTACATAGAAAAAAAATAGTCATAGTAGATCTTTATGAGGTGCAAGTCCCACCATTTCCTTATTTGTCTCAGCACTGGTGCGATTCCATTCCTACCGTTTTCTCCCTTTGGGCCCTTGCTTCCTTGGTTCTCTTATTTCAAGCCATTGCCTTTGCACGTTCATGAGTTACTACAAGTCTCCTGTGACTATTCTACTCTCAGTTATGAAGGGTTTATATATGCTTCTGTGTATGTATGTGTGCCTTTTATATGTGATATTCATTTATAGCACTATTTTTAAAAATGGACCAAATTAAAGTGTAATTTTCAAATATATAATAATGACCACCAGAGACCAGCATATCTGATTAATTGAAAGTGAACATGTATTCTTATACAGTGCCTTTAGATATATGGTTATCGAATGGGATTCAGATTTTGACATTATTTTTTTTTCCTTTTTGTGATAAAAAACAAAACATGAGATCCATGGTCTTCACAGGTTTTTTTTTTTTTAGTGTATAGCAGAGAATGATTTAGTTTTTAATTGTGGAAATTGAATTTGAAAAAAACAAAACAAATGAAGTATAAAGCATGAATAGATATCAGTTGTTTGGACTAAATAATAAGCATTTGTTTTTTAGGTTACACCTCCAGGGGCTCCCCTCTCAGTCCCCAGTCATCTATAGACAGTGAGCTGAGTACTTCGGAATTAGAAGATGACTCAATCTCCATGGGATACAAGTTACAGGACCTCACTGATGTGCAGATCATGGCTCGTCTGCAAGAAGAAAGTATGTTCTTTTTATACTATAAAACTTTTGAACTAGAGGCTTCTACTTGAAGTACAAGGGTGTGGGGAGTTTTCAGGTATTTCTTCTTCCCAGGTAATGTGTGAACAATTAGATTCTTCCTCTCATACTATCAGACTTCGTAGGTGCAGCAGTTAAATGCTTCTCCTCTTTTCATGAGCATCGTAAGGCATTAGGACATACACTGATCAAAATACATGGGTAGAAAGGCATTGCTGGTATAGCCACTGTGGGAACGGTCCGTTTCCTAAAAACCAAACATGCAGTTTCCATAAGGCCCAGCAAGCTTCACCCTTGGGCATTTATCCCAGCTTAATGGAAATTTTTTTACACAAAAACTTGTACAGGAATGATCAGAGCAGCTTTATTTGTAATAGCCCCAAACTGTAATGAACTCGGATGTCCCTCAGTAGGTGGTTAATCAAAGAGTGGTACTTCTGTATCCAGGAGCACTACCCAGCAGTAGAAAGGAACAGAATTATGCTCAGCATAAGAAAGATGACCCCAGGGCTGGCCGAGTCGCTCAGTTGGTTAAGAGCTTGCTCAAGAGTGCGAGCTCTGAGCAACAGCGGTTCGAGTCCCGCCCAAGCTGAGCTGCCACTGAGCTGCCAACAGGTGGCAGGATAGCTCAGCTTAAAAAAAAAAATGATCCCAAGAGTGTAATTCCATTTATATAACATTTTGGAATGACAGAATTTTAGAGATGGAGGGCAGATTAGTGGTTTCTACAGGTTGGAGACAGGGTGTGGGATCCCAGGAGGGAGGTGGGTGTGGTTATAAAAGGGCAACACAAGGCATTTCTGTATTTTTTTGTGAGTTTTTGGAACTGTTCAGTATTTTGACACTGGTGGTAGACATTTGATCCTACCCGGGATACAATTGTATAAAACTTGATACTAACATATTCATATATGAGTAAAACCGGGAAAATCTAAATAAGATGGGTTTGCATCACTGCCAATATACTGGTTATCATAGAATTCTATAATTTTGCAAAATGTTAGCGGTAGGGCAAGCTGGGCAGAGGGCACTAGGGATCTCTGCATTTCTTAGCACTGCATGTGAGTCTATCCTGATCGTAATAAAAATTTACTTCTCAGGATAAATAATTACGGAAGAGAAGATCATTGGAAATGGGGACAATTTATTCCTGGTTCTGCAATAAAGTTAAAACAAACAATCTGGGAGTGTGAACTACTTCAAGGATTTTAATGACATCAAAAGACACAAAGTGTAGCTCACAGAACTGGGCTTGGCTTGTTGTGGAGTTGTCTTTTCAGGCCAACATAAGTAGAAACAGCCAAGTATCATTCGAACATAACGATTTCCCGCTTTCAGAATTAGTCAAGGCTACTATGAGAAACATGATAATGCTTATGCGGAATTTAGTAAGATACATTTTGAGGGGAAAAGTGATTATTTTACATCATTATTTAGGAACAGTAAACTAATAGTAACTCTAAGTCTCTATGGCTAGAAGATTGGATGTCAGTTTTCAGAGGTCAAGTGGTCAGGGATAGACTACTTTAAAAAAATTGTGGTATTAACAATGAGATGAATAACTAGAAACTTCCAGTTTGACTATTTTCAGATGGTTGTCATTTAGGATGACCTGAAACTATTGCAGTATTGGAATGTCAGTATGTTTTTAAAAAGATAATAGTAGTAACACAAAGAACAAACGAGAGTTGACCTTGTTAGAAAATACTTGCACTGCAGGTTTCGAACATTGCTTTGACTGTGAGCATTGTGGTGGGGAGCAGGAGGAGTTCCTACTTCTACAGAGATTTGATTATTTTAATTGTCTGACTCATAGCAAAGTGTTTTTAATGACGATGAATAGTTTTTCCTAAGTAGCCTTCCTAGTATCTCTCCAGAGTTCAGGAAGGATCATTTGGGGAAATTGACAAAAAATTGACTGGGAAATTGTAGCAGTCCTATGTTTAATCTTCACTGCAGTGGGGGCAACTTTTTTGCAAAACAGAACAGTAATATTAGACATCTGTTTGGTAGATAAATGTATCTGTTTTCTAGGGATTTAATAAACTAAGAACGAGATTATGGGTCTCCATTTGAATCATGTGGCACAAATTTTCCTGTAATAGTTGATGAGTTGGGACATAATTTTGCTGGATTGAAATGTCTCACAATACTATTTCTTGTTATTTTATAGGTCTCAGGCAAGATTATGCTTCCACTTCAGCATCTGTGTCAAGACACAGTTCCAGTGTGTCACTGAATTCAGGAAAAAAAGGGACATGTAGCGATCAAGAATTTGATCGATTCAGCCTGGAGGATGAGGAAGATTTTGATCATTTGCCACCACCTCAGCCCCGTCTTCCAAGATGTTCACCTTTCCAAAGAGGAATTCCCCACTCACAGACTTTCTCCAGCATTCGGGAGTGTAGGAGGAGCCCCAGCTCCCAGTATTTCCCTTCAAATACTTACCAGCAGCCACAGTATTATTCTCCTCAAGCCCAAACTCCAGATCAGCAACCAAATAGGACCAATGGAGGTAGTTTATGATGCTCTTTTTGTGTCTGATGTGCTTTGTTTCGTCTTTCGTGTGTACTCAAGAAATGCTTTTCAGGTCAATGTAAAGAACTGGCAAACGTTCCCAGATTTATGAAGTACACCCTCAAGACTTTATCCATTTGGCCTGAATTTAAATCTGTAATTGACCAACCTCTCAAAACATGTCTTAGATTTATAGACTTATAGCTTCAAGAAAACCACCGTGATGTGGTTTCCTGGCACAGAATGAGTTATAAGTGGGGAGCATCTTTGTGTTGTCGCTAGTTCTGCTGTGGGATGGGCAGGGGTGTGCAAGCTGAGGAATTTATAGGCGTTCCACTGAGCTCAAGGCACTGGGCTGCAGCCTTCCTCACCTCTCCCACAACCGTCAGCCTCTTACTGCCTGTGACTAGCACAGCGTGATGGACGATGACGCTCGGAGAGGACGCTGCTGTCACATCCAGGTTTAGGGAAAGTTGGGATGTGTCTTTCCCTCTGATTCCTGACATCTAGAATTAAGATCTGTGTAGCAGTAGGAAAATAGAGGCTGATATTCGGCATGTTAATGGGAAGTCGATCTGCCCGAGTGTCAACATGGGTTGGAATGTGTCGTTCTCTTTTGTGTGCGTGTGTGTTTTTTTGTTTGTTTGTATTCTATCTCCATCTTCATCATTTTTTTTCTTTCTCTACTCCCAAGAGTGATACTCCTTGACTTCAAACAAACTTTTGGGAGAACAATTATGTACTATTCTAAGCCTGGTATGTTTTTATGCTAATGACCAGTCACACACAAATCCATGTAATGTGGAGAAACTAACCATATTTATGGAGGTATAGCTTTTAATTTTGTAGCACCATTTCTCAGAGCTGGGGACAGAAGTGCCCAAGCAGGTCATTTTATAACATTGCAAGGCCAGATACAACTTATATTTGTGATCATCTGTTCGCCATGTTTTTAGTTTTTACCTTCCTCTGTACTTGTATCATTCATGCTAATTGAGAGGTCATTTGAAAATATTGAAAATCTTAGTCATAATTTCTCTCATTTTGTACTCTGATTTCAAATTTAAAAGAAAACCATGGCAGCGAAAGAATGTCATAGTGACTATTTTATTAAAGCTCACAGTATCTGGAAGACAGTGTAGCCCATGAGCTCCATGAAAGTCTTAGCCTTCCTTATTTTACAAGTCAATTCAGCGAGAGGGCGCCGAGAGTGTTCTCTAAAGGTTGTTTTGTCAGGTGTCTTAGAGCTTCATATCCTAGCTGTCAAACAGTTGCTCGCTCCGCATCTCGGTTAGTGTTGTCAGTGGGATCCTTGTCTTGCCTTAGAAAAGTGGTTTTAACTTACCTTAAACACCCGCATGAAAAGGATTGGATTTCCCTGAGCCTGTGCTGTGATGATTCCTATTAGGAGAGTGGAGACTATCACAGCTTAGTGTCCGGCTGTGGTAGTTATATTGTTCCTGAACAGTCTGGTCTCCCACAAAGGAAAATGGAATACAATAGCAATTTTCTGAATTAGACTTCGGATGATCCACCTAGTGGAGAGCACAGGCTCTGCAGTCCAGTAGACCCAGAGTTCCAGTCCTGTCCTACCACAGAGCTGTCACAGGTTCCTCGTGGCTCTCAGCACTGATTTTGGCTGCCAATTGTGAACAAAATCACCTGAGAAAACTTAGGTATAATTTCTCCCAACCTAAGGATAAAAAGAGATGATCACTGTGACATTACCAGGAGTAAAATGCTCAAGAAAGTGAATAAATGTTGTCTCTCCCCTGCCGCCTTCATTTGTTATCACGGAATATTATTTGAACAACACCGTGAAATTAGAATGGTAACTATTAAAGCTAATCTATCAGATATTTTTCTAAATTACCAAAATAATATAGATAGGAGGAAATAATGGTTAAATCGTTGATGCATTTTAAAATAATTAAAAATAAACCAGAAATGCGTTATTTATATTTACGGCTTCCATAGCTGCTACACTGCCTAGGTTCAAAAGAGACAGCTCTTAAAAGTTCTTAGACTATTTCTAGGGATCATAGAGTTGAAAGAGGCATATTTGGAGTAATTTGCCAGGTATGAAAAATGACTAAATCTTGCAGACTCCTTACTAACTGTAACTCCTAGGCCGTGGCAGGGGTGATTGGTGGCATGATATAATCAGGTTAGCCCGAGGATTGCCCTGGGCCCTGTATTGACTGGGAGAGGCTGGAGCTAACTGTTGGGTAGTAAACCGAGCGTCTCCTTTATTCCCTAAGTTTCTTTGGTTGTTGTTCCAGAGTGGTGAGTCTTGCTGGTGCTTTCACATGAGGAAACTCCTTTGAAATCTTTCCTTGGTGTCTTCCTCCAGTTCCCTGCTGCATCTCAGTCCTTGAGGATAGACTGCCGATTTCTTGTGAAGACAGAAATAGAACATTATTTAAAGTATATGTGGCCATTAAAATACCCCAGATTGTTAGACAGGAAAGGGGGCCTCATTTCAAAGTGTTCTGTGACACAACGTGGAGATCACAGCATAGCAACCAGAGGAGAAGCGTTCTAAGTATTGGGTTGTCGGAAAAGTCATGACGCATTTTTGCAATGAAAAACAGAGAAAAAATACATCATAACTTTTCCGACAACCCAATATTTACACTTGGAAGCCTTTATTTTTAAGGGCATACCGGTATTTCAGATTTAAAGCTTTGTGAAACTGACCTGATGCTTAAATATGAGTCAAGATAGGTTTTAAAGATGAATATACCTTGATGAACAGGTTAGAGACATAACAACCAAGTTGAATGTGTGAACCTTTGATTGGATTGTGGTTTAGGGGGAAAAGATTATGAAAGACATTCTTGAAATGTCTGGAAAATTTTGTATATGGATTATTAAAAGCTATTGTTTGTTTACATGTCATGATAGTATTGTGATTCTACAGAATTTTCTTATTCTTAGGAGATACCTAAGATTTCAAAGTACCTGAGTACCTTCAGGCTTCAAATTTAAAAGAAAATAGTGTAAAGAGTGTCATAGCAATTAATTTATTAAAGGTTGTAATATCAGGAAGACAATGTATTCTATGTGCTTAATGAAAGTGATAGCCTCATATGAAACTTGAGGGAGCGGGCACTTAAAGTGTCAAGAGGTCTGGAACTTTTATGTTGCTTAACAACAGCAAAGAATGTATACAGATGGAGATGAATTAAATATGGCAAAATGGAAAACTAGTATATCCAGGTGGGAAACATACAGATGTTTATGGTACTGTAGCACTTCTACATATATGAAAACTTTTGTAGTAAATAGTTGGGAAATTTTTTAAAAACATAGAAACTCATTTCATTTTCTAAATAATAACATAGTTATTTCCCTGTGCCTCCCTGCTGCTTAAACAGATTCAAAGTGATTTAGTCTCATTCTGCATTGATAGAGGCCCACTTTTTCATGCCAGCTGTTGATGTTCAGGAGGCCTAGCTGTAGGCTGTACCACTTGATCCCTCCTCACTTACCTCTCACTCCTACCGTACGCCCTCTGCCAGCACACACGTAATATTTGCTGAATGTATTCAGTGCCCGCTGTTGGAGCATAGGAACTTGATTAGGAATTTAGGAATATGAGACATAGAGTTGGTAAAAATAGATCTCAAGGAGGTAATTAGGAAAATGGTCAAGAAACCTATTAGGTCGGTCCAAAAGTAATTACAAATAATGGCAAAAACTGCAATTATCTTTGCACCAACCTAATAATAGTCATTGGCAGTATTTGAGTATTATTACTCTAGAAATATGCACACAGAGTAAGGAAACTGTGTAAGTGGTAGATACCTCAGCTAGGTGGTATACAGAAAACCTTCTCTAAGGGGATGGTTGTGCTAATTCTTCAAGAATTAGTAAAAATTAGTTAGGTGGATGTAATACTCTTTTTCTGGTCTTTTATCATTGCGCTCTTTACAATTTCTTACACGGAGCTTCTTTGAATAAGCAGTATAGAAGGAGCAGTGCATGAAATGGGAGAAAGAAGGTTTAGTTTTGCTCTTGAACACATTTTGGATTACTGCTCACGTATATCATTTGTTTTCTGATTTAGCTTGAGAGAAAATGACCACAATCAGTGTCCTGATTAGCATTTCAGGGTATATATTAATAAGGGTAAAAATATCTAATAGAGTTGGAGGTGTGTGAATTACATGAGATATTACAATGGTTTGTGATTCTCCAAAGTTCAACCCGATCTTTCAAAATGTTATTCTTTAATAATTTCTCTCATTTTGGAGAAACTAAACTTAATGTTAAATTTTAGTTTTCCACCTTAGGATCGATAATGGAAACATAGATTGAGAAACACTGGCCTGAGCTATAAACTCACTGACAGTCGAGGATTGTATCTAATACACTGGCGTCCCCAACATCTTTAGCGCACCTGTCATGTAGTATATACGCAATCAATATTTGTTCTCTTTCTCATTCATTCACTCCACAGGTGGGGAAGGGTGTCCACGTGGAGGGACCAGCGTGCTCACAGGTACAGGGGAGTGTGGGGTATTTGGGAACCTCATTGGTCCACTGCGGCTGGAGAGTGGGCTGAGGCAGGGCTAGCAGATTGGGCTGGGGAAGTGTGAGTGGAGAGCTAACACCTTGAAGTGTCTCGCTAGGCCATGCCCAGGAGCGGGGGCTTTCTGATGAAGGCGAGGGAGAGTAAGTGGAGGCTTCTTAGAAGGTGACTGCATGTGTGCTTGTCCTCTGAGAACAGTGGAACTGGCTGTATGGAAGATGGATTGGAGGAACAAGTGCTTGGAGACAAACCAATTAAGTAGATTTTGTGAAAGTGTGTGGGATAAATAATGAGGTCTGAACTAGGTGTTAGTGGAAGATTCATTAAATATTTATGAGGCAAAATTATGAGGACTCGGAGTCAAGGGCGTAGAAGGGAGGTGAATCTTAGGAGATACTGCAGATTTCTGGATTAGGTGGTTTGGTGGGCAGGCCTACAATCAACAGATCTAAATAATGCAGGAGCTGTGTGTGAAGGGCAGGAAGAAATGAATCTGGTTTTGTACTTGAATGGGTTTTGGCTTAGTGTTCAAATCTATCCTGTGTGTTCAGAGCTTGTGACCTGATACTTTATTTTTTCTTTGGGTTGGAGGAGGTCTCTTAATAAAGAGAAAACTAACTTGTACAGTTGCAGTCTTGCGGCTGATTTCACCTCTCAATAAAATAAATTAAAATAAAATAAAAATCTGTGCGTGACTCTCTGCTGCCCCTTAGCGGCAGAAAACGTACTTAGCAAGGAGAAAGAAATGGAAGCACTCTTTTTCAAGTCTCCAAAGATTTGGTGGCATACTTATGACAGAACGTTTCAGCAGTTAATGTGGTCATGTTGATGTGATCAGTGACTATCTCAAAACATCTCAAGTTATAATTTTAATAATTTCTTCCGTTTTGATATGCTAGCAAAAGATTCAGTTAGTGTTGGTTTTGACTCCTAGGTTTTTTTTGTTCGTTTTTATTAACATGTAAATTTCTGGTGTCTTTTTAAAAAACTAAATGGGTGTAAGATTATTTTCAACCTCACTTTAATACATTTTATCCACTTATTGTATAAGAACAAATAGCTAAATGAGTAGCCAATCTCCTACGTCTTTTCATAGAACTCATGCTTGCTTTCAACAGTCTATTTGATGGAACCTTTCTGGAGATATTAAGTGTTTCCCTATATAGGATGTTAATTCTGTTAGCTTGTTATAGTTTATAATGACATGATAATTTTTATTTGTTGAGCAAAATATGATTTTACAATTTGTTTTTACTTTTGAAAGCTAGTGTTTTAATTGGCATAAAATTGGTGATTTTTAACTTAATACAGTTTTTTTCTCTTCTAGACAAGCTCCGAAGAAGCATGCCTAATCTAGCTCGGATGCCAAGTACAACTACTGTTAGCAGCGGCGTAAGTTCTCCAGTCACCGTGCGAAATAGTCAGAGTTTTGACTCAAGCTTGCATGGCGCTGGGAATGGAATTTCAAGAGTACAGTCTTGTAGTAAGTACAGTTTTTATTTTTTGTATCTTTTAATTAGCTGTAACACCAATAGGAAAATATCTTACTATTCCATTTCTTCTTTTTTTTTTCTTCCTTGAGAACACTACTGGAAACTTTTCTCCTTGTCTTGTGACTTTCTTTTTAATAATTCATCATTACAATTGAGTAGTATTTTTACCAGTGCCTATGCTACCAATTAATAATTAGTAAATTACATGTAATCTGTTATATCCAAGGGTAGCAGTAGAAGCACTAAACGGTAATTTGTCCACTCATCATACAAAATAATCTGTTTTCTTTGTAGATCTGCCTCTTTCTGACTATCTATTTGATACCCTTACTCTAAAGAGAGCACACTTATTCTCTCTACCTGTTACTTTGGTGTTTTTTTTTTTTTTTTTACCAGTCCATAGGTTTATTCCTCAAAAAAATGAAGTTATATTTTCATGTGTCTGAAGTAGTTATTTATCTACTCCATTTCAGCTTACACATGATCTGCTCCTCATTCTCTATACATTTTCTCCAGCATTGAGCAGGGCAGTGACCGTTCAATTCGGTGTTTGTATTTTTACTTTGGGTGGGAATGGGTGGTTCAGCATGAGCAGAAACTGTAGAATTGGTTGGAAAGGAACTTAGAGATGGTTTGTCAGCCAACACAAGATCACTGTGTCCCAGAAACTTGATGGGAACAGAACTATAGCAGAGTCTCACAGAGACCTTATTTTTCATTGAATTGTTTCTCTACTATACACACACATCAGCATTCCTTAGTACAGATTTCACCTACTATGTACTTGAGCAAAACTAGTTTTTAAGGAAATATTTTCAAGTGATATTAAATAAAACTATAGACATTTCCTGTTTTTCTCCCCTTCTGTTTTTATTTCAATTTATTTATTTCTATTTTTATTGTTATATATCCTATGCTTAAGTAAGTTCAAAATCAGCTAAATTGATTTTGAAAACAGTATGTTCCTGTTTAACTGAATGGTAGATATTAGGCAGCGAAGGCTGGAGTAGTTAGCAAACAGGCAGAGCTTTGTGCACATAGTAACCACTCAACTTCTTATTACCTTGATAATGACAGCAAAATCTGTAAAATGAAGGGACCTCTCTGGGTAAGAACCCTTAAAAACTTCTCAATGTACTGGCCCAACAGTGTGTACCATTTTACATTAAGAAACTGAACTGTTTGGAAGAAATTTTTAAAATTTTTAGTCCTTTTCTCCAAGGGAAAAATTGAATCACAAATATCTTTTTTAGATTTGTGTCCCTTCATTTTGTGGATTTTGCTGTCATTATCAGGGTAATAAGAGGTTGAGTGGTAGCGACGTGCCAGGCGCCACTGCAAGGCTTCATGTAGATTAACTCATTTAATCATCCCACCAACCCTATGAGATAAATAGTTTTTATCATGGCATTTACCTAAGAAATACATTTGTAATAAGCTGTTTGTATCTACCAATATCACTTCTGTCTTCTTTTCTGTAATTACAGCTAAATTGTCCCTTGCTCTATTTTCATGAAATAATCCCCAAAGCAACCATCAAGAAATTCTAATGTCTTCTAAGCAAGCAAGGAAGAAAGTATCCTGTGAAAACTCAAATTTGTTAAAGAAAAGGAGGTTGTTCTTAGAATGTAATAATACAATTAGGCACTCAAAAATGTTGTCGATAGACAGAATAGAAGAATTAGAATTTTCAGTACTAAATGCTGTCTGGGACTTGTATTTCATCTTATGTATACCAGGGGTGCCAAAAAAGTGTATATACATTTTAAGAGACGTTAACACTTTGGTCAACGTTGCTCAAGCAGTAGTTCGCCATAATCAGAAGTATCTCGACGCTGATGGTAACCACTTTGAGCACCTTTTGTAACTGCAGAAGTCAAACATAGCTGGTATTCATCTTTTGTTATCGGTATATATTGAATATTACAATTTTAATACATTTTTTTCCTTTCTTAAAATGTGTGTTCATTTTTTTTGGCACCCTCTGTATTTATATAACTTTGAGACAGTATAAGCTTTTTTGAATATAATGCACATTTCCTGAGTTGGATGGTGGTAGACGATCTCTTCTTTCCATGTCATTTTCTCTTCTAGTTCCGTCACCAGGACAGCTTCAACATAGAATCCACAGCGTGGGACATTTCCCAGTGTCTGTCCGACAGCCTCTTAAAGCTACAGCCTATGTGAGTCCAACCGTCCAAGGCAGCAGTAACATGCCTTTATCCAATGGCTTACCGTTATATTCCAACACTGGAATCCCCACACCAAACAAAGCTACAGCTTCTGGGATAATGGGCCGCAGTGCACTTCCGAGACCTTCATTGGCAATAAATGGAAGTAACCTGCCTCGAAGCAAAATTGCACAACCTGTTAGAAGGTAAGAATCTTTGTTTCTTGGTCTACATAACTTCATTTGCAATTTGTGACTAGAAACTGCTCCCGGCACCATCTTGCCTGTTCCTTTGAATCAGGCCTGACTTGTCCTTCCTCTGGAAAGTGATGGGGTGGCGGTGACTCCGCGTGCTCAGGTCCCTTTCTCTCTGATGTCATCTCCCCTCATTCCTGATGCCCTGTTTGCTTTTGCTTTAATTTACCTAATAAGCTCCATCCCCAGAGCTCTTGCATTTTCCTTCCGCCAAGTTATTTGCATCACCTGCTTTCCCCTCCTTCAGGGCTTCGCTCAGATGACGTCTCTGTCCAAAATTGCAGCTCCTGCGAGAGTTGTAACCCCTCCTTTCCCCTCTCATTTCTCCCCGTAGCATTTGTCACCATCTGTTGGATTATACATTCTGCTGACTAATTTATGGGCTGACTCTCCTCAACGCAAGCTTCCTGAAGAGGGGAGGGTAGTTGATCTTTGGTTCACTGCTATGTGTCCCTAATGCTAAGAGCTATGCCCAACACAGTATTGCAAGTATTTTTTGAATCAATAATTTTATCAAAATGAGCAAAACTATGCACATGCACACACTCACCTTCCCTTCACACTCGTGGTTTAAAAGCATGTTAGTGATATTTAGATGGGATTTGTTAGCTTATGTTGGTAAGTTTGCTATAGTCCAGGTAGCATTTTTTTTCCCCAAAAAATTCTAGGTTACTTTTAAGACACATGTTAGATGAGTTCATGGTCATGAGGTACCTTTCTTGAACCTGGATATCCTGGAGTATTTATGGTTAAAAAATTGTATGAAAGGTTCAAGAGAGCTTGAAAGATGAGACCATGGAGGCAGTAAATGTAGAAACTCTTACAAGAGACAAGGATAGTGAGAGGAGGGGAACCGTAGTAAAAGTTTGAAAGGGATGTGGGAACAAGTAATTTTTCTTTCCTTATGCATTGGTATGTATAAATAGTTTTGCTTTTTATTTTCTGATTAGAAGTAATAGGTGCTCTCAGATCACAAACTATTGAAAAACAGAAAATAAAGGCTGATCTATATACTACTACTACTCAGATAGAAATAATTTTGGTGCATGTTTGTTCAGTACATTTTGGCTTATCCCCCCTAGTAAATGCAGTGCTGAGGTGTGTTTATGGCTGAATGGGACATAGATGGGTAGATAGGACCATCTATTTATCCTTGGATATATGTCTCCAAACTCAACTCTTGGGAAGGTTGTCACTGCAAGACTATTTGAGAGTATTGAGAGTATCTGTTTTTCCAACTGTAGGCAAACATTAGGAATTATTCTTTTTAAATGTTTTGCCAATGTGATAGGCAAATCTTTCATTATTTGTAAGGTTGAAAATTTCTTCGTATTAATTTGCTATTAATATTCATTGAAGTAACATTTGTTTTTTGGCCATATTTATATTGAGGAGTTTATCTTTCTGATTTAAAAATATCCTTTATACATCTAAGGATACTGATCACCTTTCACTCACGCTGCAAACCCACTTGTGCATGTACAAATGCTGGTCCTGTGCTGACAGTGGGTGTCCAGCAGAGGGCGGTGTTGCGAAGCTCCGAAGTGTGAAGCATGAGGTACACCTGGAAAAGGGCCCAAAGGTGGTCATTCCCGGAGTGGAGGAGCATAGGTGGGCGAGCAGAGGGAAGCAAGTGATGCGACTCGGGGTTACTAACAGTTTCCCGTTTTCTTACCCTGACAGTTTCCTTCAGCCTCCAAAGCCGCTGTCTTCACTCAGCACTCTGAGAGACGGAAACTGGAGAGATGGTTGCTACTGACGCAGTTGGACGTACCTTGAAGAAGGGGAAAGAAGTGGAAATGAGGGTTGTGTTACCTAGCTGGCTGGGTAGCAGTGGATGTCGGGAGATTCTTTAACCTACTTACTGCATTGTTTTCAATGGACCGATCACCAGAGACTAATGATTGCACTTAAATGTTTGCCTGCGATACTGCAGCACTCCCAAATCCACGCTTGCAGTATTGTGACACTTAGATCTAGGAAGTTTTTGTAGAACTGCTATGTACCTGAACACTTTTTGAGAGATTTGAGATGTATCAATAATGCTTTCTTTATCATATGAGTTTGTTTGCTTTTAAGTAACTTGTTCAATTTACTCGTCTGTTTTAAACATCTTCGCATTACATGTTCTGTATTTTAACACATTACATATTTACTACTATGTTCTATAATGTATGCTTTGAAATTTACTTTTTTATAGTTTACAGGAATTTTATTTTTTGTGCCTCTTTCTTTTTACACCTCTGTGAACCACTGTGGAACAACTTAAATTTTGTGCCATAAAAATATTTTTGTGGTAAGGTACTATTTTTTTAGCTCTAGGGATATATCAGCAAAAATCCACCATGAAATCTGAGAGACATAATTTTACGTTGAATGAGCACAATGTAATCTGAAGCATTGCAAGGAGATAGCCAGGCAGCAAGTTAAATGGTGTCTTTTTCATCATTAATTTATTTTCCTCCATGGGTTTCATATTCATAATGGCGTCACAAGCTCATTGCACTTAATACCTGCAATGTTTGCTACTGTACCACAATTGATTTTCAATACTTTGTTACAGAGGATGAAACTGTAATGTTTTATTAACAATGCTTCTGGAAATGAATGCATTTTAAAGCAAATAAATCCTTTTGATAGACCTTTTACAAAACCCATTTGCACTAATGGATGCTTTTCTTATGGTATATAACTTAATATTTGTTACTGTGTACACTGCTGTTTTGGAATGTTCAGAAATAAAGACTATTTCGGCAATACCAGGTCATGCATGAATGTGCAGCATAAACCCTGTGGATACCATATATATGTCTCCTTACAGTCGTGAAAGGGGGTGGTGTTGTTATGGTCTTGTATAGGGCATTCATATCTAAAGCAGGTAGACAGAATACCCATGTTTGTAAAAATTGTTTCTCTAAAATACTTGTGAGGTTTAGTTTTAGTCCCATTTGGAAGGCTTACTAGAACTCAAGTAGCCTGTTGCCCCGAAACACTTTTATGGATGAACACTGTTGGGAAATTTTAGTATTTTATGGGGTTTCAACTTGAAATGTTTTCTCAGTATCAGTAAAATAGCAAAATATTACTGTTCCACATTATATTTGATATATGTTGGAGAACTTTTCACTTGAAGGTACTATTATGGAAAGGTTATGCAAAGGCTTTAATGTTAAGTTTAAAAATCTTTTTACTTAAGATCATTGGAGATTTTTATTTCTAAAAAGTGCCTTTATATATAATTCTATCTAGAACTAAAAAAGATTGGCTTTAAAGTAGCTTGTACTTTAAATGAAATGTGAGTGCTAGAGCAGGGGAAGTATATTTATGAAGCACTTCTTTAATGACAAGACCGGGCTAGACATTTTGTATACATTTGTCTAATTCTAACAATCATCTGCTGTTAACACTTTTAAAAATAAAGATACTGAGCCTGAAAGATGTAACCTTGTGTACACATTTAGCTGGTAATAGTGAGGCTGACCTTTGAATCCAGGTTTACCTGATTTCAAGTCTGTTTTTCCCACTACTGTGCTCTTCCTATGAACATACGCAGTTTAGTACATTTTAAAAAAAGTTTATATTTCTGCTGAGGAAGTTAAAGGATTCGTTTTCAATTCAAATGTTTCGTTTATATTCAAAAGAGTCTGTTCAGCCCTTGTAATAAAAATCAAAGATCCCTGCATCTTAGATTTTACAGTCTAATTTGGGGGATAGAGACAGTAAACCATAAACAAGTAAGTAAATCACAGTATGTTAGGTCCTAAGTGCTATAGGAGAAAAGGGGGAAAAGGAAATCACAGTAAGGGGAGTTGAGCAAATGGAGATGGGAGAGATCACGCTGATAAATCGGTCATCTCGTTAAGGAGTTGACACTTGAGCAAAGACTTGGAGATGGAGTGAGCCCTGAAGCTGTTTCAGCTTCTCAACTGGCGTTCTACAAAGTGCCATTAGTGATTTTTTCCACAATTCTCCCTAGGATGGTATATAACAATTACTCTAGATGCGTAGGAGAATTTAATATATTGCACACAACGGATGCCCTAGGGTAGTGGTTCTCAAAGTGTGTTCCCCACATCAGCAGTATCAGCAGCCTTTGAGAACTTGTTAGAAATTCAGGTTCTCAACACCCCCTGCCCCGCCCAGCCCTACTTACTAATCACACCTCTGGGTGATTTGCAGAATCCCCTTTGAGAAAAGCTGCTGGAAAGGAGGGAACAGCCTAGGCAAAGGCTTAGGGCAAAGCATGCCCCGTGTGTGTGTGGAAGAGCAAAGAGGCCAGTGTGGCTGCAGGCGGGGAACACGGAGGAAAGCAGAAGAGATGAGAACAGGACGGTGACAGGGCAAATGCTGGAGGGCACTGTGGTCCCCAATAAAGACTGGTTTCACTCAGGAATGGGAACCGTTCATGGTTTTCAGCAGCAGAGCTCATGATTTGACATTTTTAAAGGTATCATCCTGGATTTGGTGAGAAGAGACTGTAAAAGGGCAAATGCAGATTAAACTATTTAATCCAGGCCAGAGATGCGGAATTGGAACAGAAGGGTAGCAATGGAGGTGGTAAAAACGGCCAACTTCAAGATAATATTCTGAAAGCAGAACCATTAGGATTTGTTTATGGATTGGATATACTGCGTTCGGAATCAAAAGAAATGTTCCAAGAGTTTTGGGCTGGCAACTGAAAGGATGGAGTTCCTCTAAACAGAGATAGTGGAGTAGGTTTCAAAGCCATAATTTTGGCTGAGATCACAAAAGTGAATTTAGATAGATAAAAGGGGACCAAGGACTGAGGCCCGAGACACATGTCCTCAGTCTTATGTCAGTTCCTTGTGCTGGTAACAAAGTGGGACTCACACAGAAAAGAGCCTGAGAAGCCCAGTTCTCAAACATGGAAGGGAATTGTGGTGCTGTGTTCACACAGACAGCCTGGGCTGGTTTACATCTGTTAGCTAGCTATTGCTGTGTAATAATTTACCACAAAATTTAGTGTCTTAAAGCAATGTTATCTCAGTTTCTGTGGGCCTGGAATCTGGCCACAGCCTAACTGGGTCCTCTGGCTCAGAGTCACTCAGAAGGCAGCAGTCATCGAGACTCAGCCGGGGGAGAATCTTTCTAAGCTCACGCATGGTTGTTGGCAGGATTCGTTTCCTTGTGTGCTACTGACCAGAAGCGGTCCTCAGTTTCTTCCCGTATGGACCTCTCTTTGGGCACTTACAACAAGGACCTCTCCTTGAGGAAGTGACTTGCTTCCTCAAATAGCAAGAGAGAAGACCGAGAGTGGGTGCCAGTGAGGACTGTGGAAATCACAGTCCTGTATAACCTAAAGTTAGAAGCAATTTCCCATCACTTTTGCCATATTCTATTCATTGGAAGCATTGAGGTCTAGCCCTCATCCGAAGGTGCGGTATTATACAAGGATGTTAATACCAGGAGACAAGGATCATTGGGACCATCTTAGAAGCTGCCCGCAAAACAGCCATCAACACTGCTAGATAATTCTCACCTAATTTCCAAAATGGTTGGATCACTGTACGTGTCTGAGCAGTGTGTGTGAATTCCTGTTGCTACATATTCTGGGTGTGTAATAGTAGTCTTGTGGTTTTAATTTTGCATTTCCTTAGTTGCTAGTGAGATTGAATACCTTTTCATTTGTTTATTGAACATTTGTATATCCTCTATGGATTCCTGTTGAGGTCTTTTGCCTCTTTTCTTATTGACATTTTCTTGTTAATACATAGTAGTTTTTTCTATAGTCTGCTATAAGGCTTTTGTCAGTTATATGTGTTATAAATATACTTTCACAATGTGTAGGTTGCCTTTTAATTCTGTTTATGTGTTTCTTTATATCAAATGTATTGGGGTAGCACTGGTTAACAATTCTCAGGTATACAAGGTTATAATTCAACATCTGTGTATGAGTATATGGGGTGTTTTGATGATAAATTGTACTGTATTAAAATTAGTAATTCTATCACTTTTAAGGTCATTTTATATCTTGTTTAAAGAATATTTCCCTAGCCTCGAATCATGAGTAAATGTATACACACACACACACACACACACACACACACCACACCACACATATATAGATATATGTATATGCACATGTATATGTATATACACACAGGAGTGCCAAAAAAACGTATACAAGTGGACACTTTGGTCAACGTTGCTCAAACAGTAGTTCGCCGTAATTAGAAGTGTCAGGATGCAGAAGGTAACCACTTTGAGCACCTCTTATAATTGCAGAAATCAAAAGTGACTTGTATTCATCTTTTGTTATTAGTATATATTGGGAATTAAAATTTTAAGTTATTTTTTTTCCTTTCTTAAAATGTATATATATATATATTTTTGGCACCCTCTGTATATTCTCGAAATTTTATTTTGTTTTTCACCTATAGATCTATAATCTATCTGGATTTGATTTTTGTGGATAGTATGGGATAGGGTTACAATTGCATTTTATATTGTCCACATGGATATCTAGTTGTTCTAGTAACACTTATTGAAAACTTCTTTACCCTACTTCTTTGTCATAAAGCAAATATCTTTATACATGTCTGTGTGTCTATTACACTTTAGAACTATTTTTGCACCAGAATCATACTGTTTTAATCACTGTAGCCTTATAATTTTTACTAAATAGCAGAGCTGTCCTGCTATCTTGTTTTCCCTCGAGTGTCTTGACTATTCTTGTCCTTTTGCATTTCCACACATTTTGACATGATATTTAAGTTCCAGAAAATCATCCTGTTGAGTCTTATAATCCATGAACATTGTGTACCTCTTCTATTGAGATATTTTGTAATCTCTCTCAATGAAATTATGTGGGTTCTCCATAGAAGATTTGCACACCTTTTGCCAGGTTAACTTCTAGGTATTTGATATTTTTTTATACTACTGTAAATGATATTTTTAAAATTTCATTTCCAATGATTTGTTTTGAATGTTTTATTCAACAGCCTTAAATTTATGTTATACAAATTTATCTTTAGACTCTTTACATACACAGTCAGTATGTAAATACTGTATGTATGTTAGCTTTATATCTTCCTTTCCTATTCTTATATTTTTTTATTTTTTATTGCCTATGGTCTTCAATGCAATATTAAATATAAATAATGATAATGTATATCTTTCTCTCTTTGCTAATTTCAATCTTTTGTCATTGTTTCAAGTTTGTAAGAGTATTTTTATTATAAAAAATGTGAATTTTAAGAAATGTTTTCTGCACTTATTAAAATAAGATTATTTCATTTAACCTGTTAATATGCTGACTCAATGATAGGTTTTTATGATGTTGAATCAATCTTGAATTATTGAGATACATCCAACTTGGTTTCATTTAGATTTTTTTGGTCCTTTTTTTTAAAAAAACAAAAGGTCTACAATTTGTCTTTCTTAAACTGTTCCTAGTAAATGCTGGGATGAAGATAGTGTTAGACTCATAAAATGAGTTGGGCTGTGGATACTGGTCAAGTTGGAAGATGCTGAGCTCACCTCCCCCCATGACACACCAAAACTACAACTACATCTCTAGAGCAACTATCTCTGAGACCAACCTGAGGGCCAGCAGAACAGATTCTCTACAACTGAGGATGTAAAGAAAAGCCACTCTGAGACGGGTTGGAGGTTGAGAAACATGGTCTTGTCAGGACCCGCAATCTTGGTGCAGCATCCCAAAGCTGGGAGGGATATTATGGCTGAGGTGGTCCCCCCTGAGGAGCAAAGGATCTGAGACCCACATCAGGCTCCCCAG